CGGCTGGGTCGCGGCGTCGGTGATCGGGGTCCTCGGGTCTGGCTCGTGGATCGTCTACTTCGTGTAGATGATCACCGGATCTCGAATACCTATGGATCGTCTATTGTATATCTCAAACACTCTCTTCAACTTGTATCGGTGGAACAACAAGAAGAAGATAAAACTCGAATGAGAACTGAGAGAGAGGGGGGTCGTGTTTATGCGTGTATAATGTAAGATTGAGATTCTCTTTAATGAGTTTAATGATGTATATATAGAGCTACAGTATGGACCTTTATGAGATTAGGAATAGTGTTTTTTAATTAATTAAAATACTTGTGAGTCAACCCACTTATTCTAATTAATTAAATAATATTAAATGAGCCACCAACATAATATTATTGTTCTCCCTTTTTCTAGCTCAATTTACAATTGAGACTCCAATAATTATTACTCGATTTATCTCCCTATATTTAAGATATAATGTCTATAAATTAATTCGATTACTGACAATAAAAAATTAATTGATTTATTATTATTTCACCGAAGCTAGCGCTCATTCATCACATTATTACTATGTCGGAATTTAATACACCTGCAGGATTTAGCATAATAATCCTTCATGAACTCACTCCGAGGACATCATCAAACTAAACGTACATGGTGACCGTAAATATGCTGACAACACATCATACATGTAGCAATATTACCCAAGACCAAGACAGAGGGTCTATTGGTCCAGTTCACTAAACCTCACCCATGTGAATCAAAGTAATATATACTACACATGTATGTCTGTTTAATATCTTACAGATTAAGAGCACGCATTAATTAACCGAGGCCTAGTTCGTTTACGGCGATCAGTATAAAACGAATTGCTCCTCTTTGGGATCTTGTTCAATATATAAATGTAGTAGTACAACTAATCAGTCAAGACAAACTGTACAGTTGACACTACAACTGTTCTGATGGGGTGTTCATGTCCATCTAGGTTGTGAACCATTAATTATTGTTTCGCGAGTAACTGATAGTATGATCTCTATTCGCCCTATGACGACCCACAATATTTTATGCAAAAAAAAAAAAAAACAGAACGTAGAACTTGTTTAATTTAACATGTTTCTCATTCATAAAGGGTAAAAGTGTAATGTCATAAAAAGTCAAGCTTTCAGTATATAACACTAACACATACCCAGCAAATTCAGGAAGATCAACCCTAAATGAAGATTCCAAGCGATTAACTCCTTCAACCATAGCCCCAATCCTGCGAAAATGGGCCTCATGCCCAGGCCCACCAAACTCAACATATGGGCTTTGGAAATTAGGAGCAGCAGGATTATTAATAATAATTATAAATAGATAAATAAATAAATAACAAAGAATATGAAATTAGTGTAATTAAATTTCTCATAATATGAGATCAATATGAGTTAAATATGGAACCATTTTGTTACGAATTCTTCATTCTTTGAATTCCCATTTCAAAACCACTTCAAAACCTATATAACAATCACCAATCTATTTATTTTTTACACAAATATACTAGTACAATTAAATGCAATGCACGAGTAAGAGATATTCATTAATATTTATAAATTAAATATTTCATTAAATAATATAGTTTTTCCGAAACGATAAGATAATCTCATAAAACAACAACCAAATACATAGTTCAACATACACATACATCACCATGAAAATTGTTGTAATATATAACTAACACACTAAAAACATGAAAACATGAAACACCCGAAGGCAAATGCCAGAAAGAATTGCACAACAGTGCAGCCTAGATAGACAAACTACAACATACTAAAGGCATTCTACATAAACTGTGCCCTCTAGTATAAAACCGAAATAACAACTCCAATCCAAATAAGCAACAATAAATCAAAACAGAAACCTGGCCATTGACATTGTACTGTAAATCCAGACATAACCAGTTCTTGTTGTGATTTGCCTCGATCCAATGCCAACATCCCTGCATTACCCCCAATCCCTAACTACCACCTGAATTATATTCATCGTCAATCTCCAGGTTTCTTCAAATTTTCACAAGTTGCGAGACTTCCATAGCCACCATAGTATATATATACGTTGTTAGTTCAATCCTGACTTATGAAGTTTCTGACTTTTCAATAGAACATACACATCCCCACCAATCTCTGAAGCTGCTCTGCTCTGCCTCTATGCCATCCCACTTCACTGGAGAATGTTTCCATGCTTCTCTAGCTCTTCCACATTTGATAAAAACGTGTTCAATGGTCTCCTCTTCCTCTCCACAACTGTGACATACTACATCCAGTTTTATGCCCTTCTTCATAACTGCCACATTAACTGGTAGAATTCCACTGAAACATTTCCATACAATGTGTTTTAGCTTACCTTGTACTCTCATTTTCCAGCTTCTTTGCTTGATTTTCCTGGCTCTGCCTGTTGTATTACTTTCTTCAGCTATATCCAGCTGCTGCAATATTTTGCACATCAATAATGATTAAAATGCAACAAGTGAGAATTTCCCATTTGAGCCCATACACCATCTCCATTTATCTTCCTCATCAGGATTGAGTTTTCTAATCTCCAGAATTACAGTATAAATTAAAAATATAAAATCAATATTTATACAATTTACTTATATTAATTTATTAAAAATATTATATAAAATTTAAATTGTGCAAAATTACATAAAAATGTCTATTTAATATTATTAAACAACTCGTGCGGTGCAACATAACTAAATAATAAATTATATTATATTCATTTCAATGTAAGTGTCAATTTAAAAGTTTTATTCAGAAATTCGATTTGACTATAATGTGATTCCATAAAATATTTATTTTGGTAAAATTTATCATATATTTAAAAAATATGTGAATAATAAGTATAAATATAAAACTTATATTGTTTCATTAATTAAAATATATTTATTTGTGTATAAAATATGCAAATCATTTGTTATTGTTTTAGTTTTTTTTTTTTTTTTTAAATGATAATTATATTAAGAATGAAAACTCAAAAGAGCACATCCGAAGTATTAACGGACACCACCATAATTGAGCAGTCTCTTATTAATTTAGCAACGATTTTCTTCAAGATCATACGTGACGCGTGGAGATACGACTAACGTCTTCGCAGTCTGTGACGTCAATGATATGAATGTCATGATAAACGACATTCATAATGAAGAAATTTTCTCAGCCATGATCAATATGGGACCGTTAAAAGCTCCAGGAATGGACGATTTAAATGCTCTATTTTTTCAAAAAAAAAAAAAAAAATCGGAGTTCGTCGGTCCGGCAGTCCGTGCCTTTATTAGGAAAAAGCGGCAAGATGGTGTATGTATATTAATTGAAAATCTTTTCACATTTTAATCATTAATTTTCACATAAAAATCTTTTCATTTCTACATTTTAATCATTAATTTTCTCTGCTAATACTTTGATTATTATTTTCAAATAATTTTAGAATTTTTGTATGTATATAACTGAAAAATAGTATAAAATATTAATGGAATTAATGAAAAAATTATTCTGAAATGAAATTGCTATCAATGAAATGAGATAAAATTGTTCTATTAATGGAATTAGTATAGATCGTAACAACTGTTTTGATTTCAATTCAACTGTAAAGAATGACAGGCTGAATTTTACTATTTGACATAACTTGTTATGTAATACTACCTCCTTTTTTAAATAAATGTCGTTTTGACTTTTTTGATTCATCCATTTTGCTATGTATCTAGACATATTAATGTCTAGATACATAGCAAAATGGATGAATCAAAAAAGTCAAAACGACATTTATTTAAAAAAGGAGGGAGTATAATTCTTTTTTATGATTAATTATTATTAACAATAATGCAAAAAACTGAATGAACATATAAACATAATGAAATAAACAAGGTGGTTTGATGAACGAGTCGAGCTCGAACTCATTTAGAGCTCGTTTGGGTAACGAGTCGAGCTCGACTTGGCTCGATATAAGGCTCGTTAAGGCTGAACAGATAATTTTTATATAATTTTTTATAATTCGGCTTGTTAAAACTCGAGATCAGCTCGTTAAAGCTCGAACTCAGTTCATTATTAGTAATAAAGGAGCCGAGCTCGAGTATAAATGTCTAACATTAAGCATTTTCTAACAACAACAATATTTGTGATGTTGCATACATACTTGCTCGTACAAACAGAGAAGGAACCAACGAAGCGAAGCGCAGTGAAGTCATGGAATTCTAAATAAGGGGCACGACTGAAATTTCTAGTTCATTCATCGTTATTGTCGATTTTCAGTCAGCGTTACCTAGTATAGAAAAAAGCTCGTCTATAGCACTGTCAAAACGGGCCATGGCCCGCGGGCTGGCCAGTCCGCCCGCCTAAATGGACGGGCTTGGGCCTTTGCTTGGCCAGCCCGTTCAACCGCGGGCCTATTTGGCCCGCCCCGTTTGGCCCGCGGG